CTTGGTGGCGGGGCCCCAGCTGCTTGGCTGTCCACAAGGGATGGACTTGAGAGCGCAGTTGTCTTCGGAGCATCACATTCAGCGAGTCGTCTTCTTACCCTCAGCTCCCAGCCAGCTGTTTCCCTGAGTCTCCCCCATCCCCTGCCACCTCATCCTACTCTCTTCCAGAGGGGTACCACTCCTAAGGTAGGGCAGCCTGATTTTCTGTGGGGTCCAGAGCTGACCACGGCTGCAGGCAGAAGCCGCTTTCCTTATAGTACACAGCAGCCTCCTGCCCTGTTTAAGAATTTGGTCAGCTTTACTGAGGTAAATGTATAAACCATAAAGTTCATTCATTTTAAATGTACAATGCAATGGGTTTTAGTAGAGATGACCAGAGTTGTCTGATCATCACTATAATGTAATTTTAGAATATTTATATCTCCCCAAAACAGAGCCCTGTACCCATTAGTGGTCACCCCCTAATCCACCCTCCATCCCCAAACCCAGCCCTAGGCAACCACTAATCTGCTTTCTGTCTCTCCAGATATGCCAGCTTGGACATTTCATACAAATGAGCCCAGACAAGACATGGTCTTCTGCAACTGGCTTCTCTTATTTAGCATAATGTTTCCCCTTCTCTTGTTAATACTATTTTAAATAATACTGTGATAGGTATCATGAAGCACAAGATCTTCATGTATATGCTGAATAATTTCTTTAGGGTAAATTCCTAAAAGGAAAATTGCTAGGACACAAGTTGAGGCATTTAGTTTGATCGACTCCCCACTCCCGCTTGCCTTCACTGATCGGAGCTGTTGGGGTCATCCCTGCCCGGGACAGTCACCTTCCTCTCGTGTCTGTACCGTCCCCCTGCCCCGCCTCAGGCCTCCCCCTCATCTTCTCATTTTGGTTCCCTCGTGAGCATCAACTCTGGACTCAGCTTCTGGGAATGTCATTGCTGGATCCTTTCCCAAGGCTTATGGGATGAAGCCCACACTCCCTCGTGGTCTTTCAAGGTTTCTTGCAACCCCAGCCGCCTTCCTTTCTCTCTCTCTCCCTTCCTCCCTTCCTTCCTTCTTGCAAACTTCCCATAATTCAGCCAGACCAAGCTCCTCACCTGTGTGCTGCTTCCGTTGTCTTTTCCTCTTAACTCCAAATTTCCCCAAACTAAACACTAGATGCTCCATGAAGCTTCCTCTAATCCCTCAACCTGAAGTGATGTCTCCAACTGCGGAGCAAGCAGGAGGCAGGAGATGACATCACACACCTCCAGCCAGGCTTCCTCTGCAGAATGTGGGTGGGAGGGTGTTTCTAGGCTACGGCTGGGCAAGTGAGGTCGTGCAATCAGCCTCCTCCTCTGTGCTCAGATGGTGATGCTCAGCACTATCACCCTGGGGCCCAGAATCTTCATTTCATTTCAACTACCTTTTCTGTGTCTTCTCTGGAAGCCAGGCCCTGAGCTAGAACTGGAGATGGGGAGATAATTAAAACAAACCCATGACTGCAGGGAGCCTATAGTTTAGTGGGAGAAGAAACAAGTGAACAGGCCATTAGAAAGCAAGGTGGTGAGGGCATGGGGCTCCTGGGACACAAGGCAGGCCTCTGGTACACCTCCTGAGCTGGCACTAGTGGTCGTGATAGATGGGAGCTTCTGCCTCCTCCACCCCATCTCCCTACTCCCAACAGCAAGAGTAGACAGAAGCCCCAATGGGGGAGGTGAAGAGAGATCTGGCTCCAGGAGGGGAGGCAATGAAACAGAACAGGGATAATTGTTCCCAATTGACAACTTTTTCTAATTAGGGACCATTTATGTCTTCAGGTACCTAACTGGGGTCCTGGTAGAGTCTCTAATTTGCTAGGTAATTACTGGCCAGTAATTCTACCAGGATGAAATTTGGAGAAGAAATATGCTATCACAACATCTTGGTTTTCTTTGTCCTGGTGGCTTTGCCCAGGAAACAAGCTGGATGATCCGCGCTCTCTCTTCTGCCTCTAACCCCGCATCCCTCCGTATCTCCTGGAGGCCTGGTCGTCCGAATGCCTCTTGCTGGTCTGTGTCCCCTTCCTGCTGCCCGAGCTCCAGGAGCTGGAACCGAGTTGAAAAGCATCAGCCAACACCACAAAGATATGGGGTCATGTGTATTGTTGCCTTTGCCTCCAACCAGCTTCTGGTGACAGTGAATTACTGTATGTCAGGAACTAGGAAGGGGACACCTTTGAAATTTGAAATGCCTTGACATCTTTGTTGAAAATAAATTGATCATCTATGCATGTGTCTATTTCTGGACTTTCTGTTCTATTCCATCGATTTATTTGTCCATCTGTCAATGCCATCAATTTGACCTGATTCCTATAGATTCGTAAAATCAAGAGCGTAAGTTCTTCAAATTCTTGCTCTTTTAAAAAGTTGTTTTGACCATCCTATGTCATTTGTCTCTTTTATGAATTTGAGAATCAACTTGCCGCTTTCCACTTACAAGCTTACTGGAGGGACTTCCCTGGTGGTCCAGTGGTTAAGAATCCGCCTTGCAATGCAGGAGATGTGCGTTCCATCCCTGGTTGGGGACTAAGATCCCACATGCTATACAGAAACTAAGCCGACACACCCCAACTAGAGAGTCCATGTACCACAGTGAAGGCTCCCATGTGATGCCAGAAAGACCTGATGCAGCCAAATAAATAAATGTTTTTAAAAATCTACTGCAATTTTGATTGAGATTGCACTGAATCTATGGGTCAGTTGGTGGGGAAGGGATTGATATTTTAACAATATTGAGTTTTCTGATCCATGTACATAATCTATCTTTCCATTCCTTCCATTTCTCTCAACAATGTGTTTTAATTCTTCAGTGTACGTCTTATACATTTTTGGTCAGATTTATCACTGAGTATTTCATAGTTATCAATGCTTCCTTCATGGCCCAGCCACCCATCCCTGGTCCAGCCGGGCATGATCAAGTTCAGGACTGCCACATACTGTCCTGCTTCAAGAGGCACCATTCACAGAGTCAGTATGAACAGTGGCCTCTAGTGTCTTTCAATGGGAAGCAGTTCTCTGACCAGTGGGCTTCACTTAATATACCAGCAAGATGCATGCCAGCTTTTAATAGAAAAAACCACTTAAAGCCGGGTGGGGGGGGGNGGGGGGGGGGGGGGGGTCTTTCCTTGGGGAAGTGGGGATGTGTCTTATGCATTTGTTTTTCTTTTGTCTTCCCAGCAACCTTTTCCCTCCTTCTAAAACAATGTCTCTGCTTTGGGGAACTGCTCCTCTTCCTCTCCATGTGGTTCTGATGAGGCTCTTAATTACCAAAGCCCCCTCCCCAACAGGAGTAAACGATGATCCAGACCCACCAATTAGCGCAGCCACAGTCCATGCACTGCAAAGAGCAGGACACGATTGATCAACTAGCACTTTCACTTTTAATGGTCGTGTTAGCTTGATTGATTCAAAGATTCAAATGCTTCTGGCAGCAGTGATCCATCCAGAGGATGGACCTGGGATCCCAGAGAGCCATCCCAAGGATGAGATTCCTTTCCCCCACTGGGGTTATTGCCTCTGGCTTCGATCTGCCCTGCTCTCTCCCCATCCACCAGAATGGAAATGTATCTGTGATGGGAGACATTGAGGCCAACACACAGGTTATTCAGAGCTGAGACAGAAAGGAGAGAGAGAATCCTGGAGACATGGGTCCCCAGCTCCCACTGATGGCTGAAGATCTTTCTTTAATTTTTCAAATACCAGAGTGTTCCTTCCAGCTATGAGAGCCAATAAATTCCTTTTTTTTTTTTTTTTCGTTTAAGTCGATTTGCATAGGATTTCTGTCACCAGCATGGTAGACACAGAGCTCTCTGGATTCCTCTCCAGGAAAGTGAGACTTTGGGGGCAAACTCTTCATTCCTCTTTCAGAGCAACTAATGTCATGAAAAGGGAAGTAAATCAGCCAATATATTTTCTTATTCTTTTCCAGTTTTATCAAGAAATCATTGACATACATCACTGTATAAGTTTAACACGTACGGCATTATGGTTTGATTTATATATATTGTGAAATGATTATCATAATAGGTTCAGTTGGCATCCATCAGTGTATCTTAATTACTGTATCTCATATAGATACAGTAATTAAGATACATACAGATACAGTAAACAGAGAAGGAAGAAACAGTGGGAAAGGGTAATTGACTTCCAGTACCGTAGATCGATTCTGATGTCTCTGTACTTTATGTGAAAAGAATCCATAGCCTGCTCCTGTGTGTCTGGCTTGCTTCTCACTGCTGGGTCGGTTCATTCTCACTGCTGAGTAGAATTCCGTCGAGTGACTACACGGCAATCTGTTTCTCCATTCCACCACGAATGGACAATTGAGTTCCCACTTGGCGGCCATTGTGAATATAGTGTTTCAGCAAACTCTAGTCCTTGGGACTTCTCTGGTGTTCCAGTGGCTGAGACTCTGCGTTTCCAATGAAGAGGGCCTGGGTTTGATCCCTGGTCATTGAACAAGACCCCACAGACTGCAACTAAGAGGTCACATTCCTCAACTAAAGATCCTGCATGCCACAACTAAGATCCAATGCAGTCAAATAAACAAATCTTTTTAAAACGACCTAAATCTAAAACAAATGAACAAAAGACAAAAAGCTCACATTCTAGTCCTTGCCTTTGGGAGGATGTCTGTACCTAGATGTGTTTCATATACAACCAGAAGGGATTTGCTGGGTTGTATGATTGATACAGGGCTTCCCTCGTGGCTCAGTGGTAAAGAATCCTCCTGCCAATGCAGGAGACGCGGGTTTGATCCCTGGGTCAGGAAGATCCCCTGGAGAAGAAATTGGCAGTCTACTCCAGTATTCTTGTCTGGGAACTCCCATGGACAGAGGAGCCTGGCAGGCTCCAGTCCATGAGGTCACAAAAGAGTCAGACACGACTTAGCAACAGAACAACAATGGTCGACATATGGCCATTTTGCCAAAGAAGAGGCGCTGATTTATACTCCCAGTGGTGGTGTACAAGGGTTCTAGATTCTGAAGTGTGAGGTGGACAGTCTCTGCCTACAGCAAAATGGGGGGTGGGGGAGCTGGCGCCTGGATGGAGAAAGCTGGACTTCTCCATCTCAAGAGTGCGTGGTGGCGGGAAGGCAGGGGTGGGGATGGAGGAGGAGCGTGTAGGGAGGGGGGCCACAGGAAGAGCTGGAAGGTCTTCTTTTGCTCTCCTCCCGAGCTAAGCAGGTAGAGGAGGCTGAGGTGACGCCAACAGCACTCGGCCTGAAACTCGCCTTCTCTCTCTGTGAATTGTCCTCACGTTCCTTTAGACTGACGTAGAAATTGCTCAGCGCCTGTGATCAGCCCCTGGTGACAGAGTCTCGCCCCTGGTGACAGAATCTCACCCCTGGAGAGTAGGGGGAAGGCTGCAGCAGACCCTGTGGTGGCCTCCCCATCAGCGGGTCCCTCCTCCCTGCCCAGCAGTGGACCAGGGGGGCCTGGCTGCCAGGCCCTGCACACCCACTGATGGTGATGGGACTGCCCGTCCCCTCAGGCTTTACCAGTGAAGGGCTCTCTGGCCAACCCCTGCCTCTTAGCATCTCCACCCCTTTGCCCAAGGGTTTCCTCCAGGAGCCCAAGCAGGCAGCAAGTGCCAGAAAACTGATGCTTCTTTGGGAAGAGCCTTCAACCAGTGATGGTGGGTTTGGTGTATAAATACCTCAGCTCCCTCAGAGGCAGGATTGAGCACCAGCGACACGCAGTGGTAACCGATTTGATAACAAACCCTTTATTGGTCACATCCCCCCCACCCCAACCCCGAGTCTCACTCCTCTTCTCCTGATGATTGCTGGAATCCCCTCCTGAACAAACCTACTTGCACGCGAAGCCTTGTCTAGGGCTTGTTTCTGGAAAAGTCAACCTTAGACCACATGCAACCCAATCTGGACAAAGATGTAAGTAGGCCTGTTGCAAGCTTCTGGAGATGCTTTCGCCCCTCTGGTGAAAGGTTTCGGGGAAGAAGGTTTCTCTCCCCCACTCTGCTTCTTTTTGTTCTGTGTGGATGCGGTGTGAGCTTGCTGCCTGGGGCTGCAGTAGCCACTTTGTGATGAGGAGGGGAGACCTGGACCGCACGCTGAGGATAACAGAACCAAAGGATGGGAGCCAGGCTCCTTGAAAGCACCTCCGAGTCTCCATATCAGCTCGGGACGACTGACCTCTGCGCCTTTGTTAAGGAGACAGGGTGTGGCCTTACAGGTTAGGCCACTTTTGCTGGCTTTTCTGCTGCTTGCAGCCAAGCTCATCAATTACTGATACAGGCCTTGAGCTGGAGGCGTTGCCATTGGACTGGACTGCTGTTCCAGCTACCACCTTGAAGCTCCTGGTCAGCGGTACCAGAGAAGAGCTAAAAGATAGGCTTGGGGTGGAGTGGGGTGGAGGAGGGCTTGAACTCCACAGGTGGCTGAGGACCTGGAGCTGAGCTCCAGGGGTCCCAGAAACGAGAGGGACACACGGGGCAGTAGGTAGCTGGGGTCCCAAGGACAGGGCGGGGGAGGGCAAGAACCTATTAATCTGCCCAGGGTGAGCGTTGTTATTGTTATTATTATGAAGCATCTCAAGGCTCACACTCGTCCTGGCCTGGCCAGGCCCCATTAATGGCCCCATAAATCCCAGCCATAAAGAGTAATGGGGGGAGACAAATGAGATAATTAGGAATAAATCTCACCGAGGTCTCTATTCAGCAGCGTCCCTGGAACGGGCCAATCTTCCGAGCCATTAGCTAGGCCCCTAATTAATGCTGCTGCCGGACGGTGTGGAGGCTCCGGGCGTGGGAGGGACCCGGGCCCTGGGAGGGGCACCGCTGCACCCGCAGCCCAGGCGGGCGACCTTGGGCGCAGCCAAGGGACACATGCCCGCAACCTGCCCGCCTGTCTCCAGGGCCTTGGGGACGCTTTGTCTGCACTGTCTCCTCTGCCTCACCGTCTCTTCCTCTCCTTTTCAGCATCTTACTCCATCTCTGGTCTGTCTAGCTTCAGCCTCTGCTTCTCTCCTATCAGGCAGTCACCGGCTGCTACCCTGAGCCAGTGTGATTTAGCAGGAATTGTGGGGGTCACTTGTAACCACCCTCCCCCATCTGTCCTTCTTTCTATGGGGCCCCCTCAACACCCCTTCCCCCAGGGCAGTCCTTGGAACAGGGAGGACACCCTCCCCTCCGTACCGCCACTGCAGTGCTTCCTGTAGGGTGGCACTCTCTCCTGCCCAGGGCAGGCATCTCTCTCCATGTGTATTATTACAACTGCCTCTGGGTCTTTCCTCTGCTGCTGGAGCCTGAGACTGAGCCTCACTGTCCTCCCAGGCTTCAGATATTTGAAGGTTTTCATCCTTTTTCTTTCTTTTTTTTTGGTCAAGCCTTGTACCTTAGTCCTCAGACCTGAGATCGAACTTGAACCCCCCTGACAGTGAAAGCTTGGAGTCCTAACCACTGGACCGCCAAGGAATTCCCTGAAGGCCTTTGTCCTTGACTTTCCTTCTCCAGCCAGATGCCCTGTGCAGCTCAAGTTTTCCAGCCTGGCATCCCCCACCCAGGAGCCTCCTCTAGCCCCACCTGCAGTGACTTCTGCTGTTTTAATCTGCCACCTCGTCTCCCCCTTTTTCAGTCGTAGCACTCTCATTTCTTTGGGAAACGTGCTCACCTGGTTCTGGAGGGGCAGCCATGTAACCCACCAGAGGCCTGGCTCTTTGTGGCCCTCTGTCCCCTGATGTGGTGGGCTCATCGCCTTCCCTGGGCCCCCTGAGAAAGGCCTGACAGACACAGAACAAGAACACACCTCTCTTTCCCACCTCTGAGCCCTGCTACCTGTCTGCCTCCTGAGGGAGCCAGACTGTCACCCAGAGACCCAGAGATGGCAGGAACCATGGGGTAGAGGCCACTGCAGGGTCTGGAAAGGTAGGAAAACCAGGTGCAGGGCAAGGAAGACTGGGAGGGGGCTTTTCTCTGGAGGAGGTGGGTGAGGAGGGGATGGTCGGGCAGCCGGGGGGGCTCTGGCCACAGGTCCCATTCCATGACTGTCTCCCTATCATCCGAGGAAAGCCAGAATGCAGAAAGGAGCATAAACGTGGATGTGACAGCCAGGTCTGTGATCTCTGTTCCCTCTGCTGCCCCTGTGTGTGCCCTGAGGCTCCCATCCCCACGTTTTCCCACCCTTCCTTGCATGTGCCAGCCAGTCCTGAGAGTATATGTGTACTCAGTCATGTCCAATTCTTTGTGACCCTATAGATCCTATAGACGGTAGCCCACCAGGCTCCTCTGTCCATGGAGTTTCCCAGGCAAGAATACTGGAGTGGATTACCATTTCCTACTTTAGTGGATCTTCCGATCCAGGGATCGAACCCGTGTCTCTTGTCTCCTGCATTGGCAGGTGGGTTCTCTACCACTACACCACCTGAAAATCCTCTCCTCTTTCCTGCTGCTCAGCAATGGGGAGTGTCTGAAGCAATCCTCCTAAGCCTCGGGGATCACCCCTTTGCCCCCTAGACTACCCCGTCTTCCCAGGGGACTGCAGAAGTCCCCGGGGTATGACTCCAGGCAATTCAGCATCACTGATGCTGCTTAAAGGTGTCTCCTCCCTGCCCTGGAGCCATGAGGGGTTCAAGGCCTGAAGTCAAGTTGGCCCAGCTCTGAGTTCAAGTACAGGAAATGCCAATTAAATGTACCAAAGAAGTGGGAGAAGCTGATGGATGCTCTGGAAGCAGGGGAGGGTGGCTGAGCACCCCTCCCCGTAGAAGCCAGCCCCTGGCCCAGCGGCTTGCTTGGTTACAGGGCAAACACACGGGATCACCCAGAGGTCATGGGAAGTCCTGGCCAGGGATAACTCAACCTGGCCTGACCACCATGTCCTCACACAAATGTGATCATGCTTGTCTTGGATTAGACAATCCAGGGCAGGAGGGTGGCCCTCAAGAAGTCTCCTGGGCAAACGGGGATGCTGATCTCCTGCTCCATGGGTGAAAGAAAACCAGAGAGGCAGACCACTTCCCCGGACACTGTGACTGACATTAGATTTCCAGAGCCTCATCACTGTTCCATCGTGCACACAAGAAACTGAGGTCTAAAGAGTGACAGGGCCTCTTCCCGGGGCCCACAGCAGAACCTGGCTGAGATCATTTGGTCAGAGAGCAGAGACTGGAGGCCAACAGAGAAGGGCCACGGTGTGGATGGGAAGGGTCTAGAACCAGGGCTTGCCCTGGAAGGATGTGTGGGCAGAGCTGGGTGGGTGGGTGGCCTCTAAGATAAACGCCATTTCAGTTCAGTTCAGTTCAGTCACTCAGTTGTGTCCGACTCGTGACCCCATGGACTGCAGCACACCAGGCTTCCCTCTCCGTTGGCAACTCCCAGAGCTTATTCAAACTCATGTCCATCAAGTCAGTGATGCCATCCAACCATCTCATCCTCTGTCGTCCCCTTCTCCCACCCTCAATCCTTCCCAGCATCAGGGTCTTTTCCAATGAGCAGTTCTTTGNTATAAGTTAAATAGGCAGGTGACAATATACAGCCTTGATGTACTCCTTTGCCAATTTGGAACCAGTCTATTGTTCCATGTCCAGTTCTAACTGTTGCTTTTTGACCTGCATACAGATTTCTCAGGAGGCAGGTCACATGGTCTGCTATTCCCAACTCTTTCAGAATTTTCCACAGTTTATTGTGATCCACACAGTTAAAGTCTTTGGCGTAGTTAATAAAAGAGAAGTAGATGTTTTTCTGGAACTTCCTTGCTTTTTCGATGATCCAGCAGATGTTGGCAATTTGATCTCTGGTTCCCCTGCTTTTTCTAAAACTAGCTTGAACATCTGGAAGTTCACAGTTCACATATCGTTGAAGCCTGGTTTGGGGAATTTTGAGGATTATTTTGCTAGCGTGTGAGATGAGTTCAGTTGTGTGGTAGTTTAAACATTCTTTGGCATTGCCTTTCTTTGGGATTGGAGTGAAAACTGACTTTTTCCAGTCCTGTAGCCACTGCTGAGTTTTCCAAATTTGCTGGCCTACTGAGTGCAGCACTTTCACAGCATCATCTTTTAGGATTTGAAATAGCTTAACTGGAATTTCATCACCTCCAATGCCACAAAATGCCATTTGCCTCCCAGCAGAGTTGAGACCACCTGGGCAAGGATGCGGAGGTGGGGAAGGCAGGGCAGGCCTGGGATGGGGGCGGAGGCAGAGGGCAGCAGACCCTGAGGTCAGGCTGAACAGGGCTGGCAGTGTTGCCGGCTCAGAAACGTGCAGTGTGTGACAGCATGTGTGTATAGGTCTGGTGTGTGTCTGTGTGTCTGTGTTTGTGGGATGTGTGTGGCTTGGTGGAGTGTGTGTTGATATGTGGCTGGAAGGAGAGTGTATGTATGTGTTGTGAGTGGTATGTGTGACTTTGCGGAAGGCATGTGAGTATGTGACTGTAAGGAGAGGGAGAGAGAGAGTGTGTGTGTGTGTGTGTGTGTGTGTGTGTGCACGCTGGGGGAGGCTGGCTAAATCCCGCCCCTGTCTTGCCCCCACCCAGCTCAGCCTCTCCTGTCCTGCAGCAGGAAATCACTATTTGGACTGCAGAGGTGCCTCTTCCTGCCTCAGCCCCCGTGGAGGGGAGCGGGCCAGGGAGGGGGCCTTCCTGCCCACCTGGACCAGACCTTGAGTTGGTCAGGAGCACCCCCAACCCTGGTTCTCCCAGCCACCCTCAAGTTCCTTGAACCCTAGCCCTGGTAAGCAACTGGGTTGAGTGGGGACTGAAGGGGAGCCCTCCCACCATCGTCCATCCTCCTGGGGACGGAGAGGCAGCAGTGAGAGGTGGACACTCCCCACAGCCATGGAGGGTGGACGGGCACCCCTCATTGAGGTCAGCTAAGTCACAAACACATGCCCTGAGGCCCATCGATCCCACCTTCAGGACTATTCTACAGAAACAGCTCTTTTGTTCAAAAGGACATGCTCATGTACCTTGTTTATAACAGAGAAATGAATGGATGGGATTCAGCGGAGCTGGGCACCTGGATCATGGCAGCTCATCCCTGGGGAAGCTCCAGGCCCCTCTTCAATGTGCTGATAAGGAAGAGCCGCCAAGGCAAAATGGTCAAGTGATAAAAACTGCAATGTGCGGGGAGATGCTGACATTTTTATAAATAAAAAGGAAAACGATCCAGGTAAAAGCTCGTGTATGCACAGATTAGACTTGAAACGCTTGTACTTCAAGCATACAATAGCTAAGCAAAAAAAAACCCCAAAACCTGAGACAAATGAGCAGATAAATGAACATTGAGGGGGGCCAAGAAGATGGGGCTTCTCTCTCGACTTTGACCTTGCTGATGGGATCCTGGGGAGGTCAGTTCCTCTCTGTGTCCTGAGTTTCCGACGTGCTCCCAGAAGACAGAAAATGCTGGTGCTGGTAAAGTAAGGCTTGAGTACATGTATATGCATTTGCGGTGGCGGGGGGTGGCAGGGGGAGGTGCGGGGAGGTGTGGTGCTGGGGGGCTGTCCTCACCACCTCCTGTCACCTCCTCTTGCTGACATTGCAGCCTACGCCCAAGGCCGTGGGCTGCTCCTAGCGTGGCATTCCTTCAGAGAGTTCAGATTTCATCTGGCCCTTTTCCTGTGCTCCCTCCTTTCCTCCAGAATCCGTCCGGGCCTCTCCACCCTTCGTTCCTGGAAGCAGCGCCCACCAGTTTCCCAGGAGGTCTCCATCTTTCAAGGCCTTCTTCAGCCACGTCTTCTCAGGACAATCCAAGGCCAACCACGAGATGTCCTCTCACTCACCCTGAACCCGTCCTGGATTCCCCCAGGTCCAGGACCCGGTGGAGGGGGGCTTGGTCCAGACAGCCCTCCCCAGGCTCAGCCACAGTGCTCAGGTCTTCCCCGGTCCAACCCCCAACCCCTACCCCACACCACAGGGCCTCGAGGCTCCCACCAGTCCTGACAGCTTTCTTTGATCTCAGGCCCCCTGGCAATCAGGGGGGTCAACTGCAGCTGGGCCGTGTGAAACCCACCCAGGCCACAAATGCGTCCCACTGCCATGCTGGTTACCCCCTCCCCAGGCACGGCTCAGCCACTGACATAGGCGTCACCCTATGCCTTGGAGCCATCATGGCTTCGAGAAACTGGAGTCAGCAGGAGATTAATTAATCAAAACCTGAACACATCTGCTGTTAATTAATTCTATGCCAAGGGTTAACTCTTCCCTGTCTGGGCTTCTCCTTCCCTTTGGCCGGAAGAGGGAAATAAAGGTGGGGAGTGGGTACCCCTCTTCCTTCCTTCCTTCCTTCCCTCAGGGCAAGACATAAAACAAAGGAGGGGGCCCCAGAAGCCAGGAAAGCCCTATTCATTTGGTGGCAGGGGGCGGGGGGGCGCAGGCGGAGGGCTGTGGGAGTGTTTGCTTTTGAGAGTCCTGGTCCATGGCTGTTACTCATGAATCCTGAGGAAATCTGAGATGAACATACATCTTTATTTACAGCACAAACAGAACAGACCCACCCTCCATTCCCTCCCTCTCCCCTTCCAGTCTTTTCTATACCATTCCCCCCTCCCACCCCACCCTGGGCCCAAGGCCAGCCCTGCCCTCCGGGGTCACTGTATGGGTCAGGCCCCCCCACCAAGACCCCAGGAGGGGGACTGTGGAGGGGTTTGGCTGAGGTCGGGTGGGGTGTGTTTCTTTTCACATTTTGCTGTCCTCGAAGCCTGGGATGGGTGGCAGGGGAGGCAGGCACAGGGGCAGTGAGAGGTAGAGAAGCGCACAGCCCCAGCGCCCCAGCCCCCCCAACACGTCCCTGTCCCCTCCCCCAGCTTTCACAGTGTTCGGCAGCCCTGGCAGCTGATCCAGGAGTGGTCCCCCCATCACCCCCCACCAGGTCCTGGGAGACCGGGAAGGAGGACCGGCACCCCCTCTCACCGGGCTGGGGTTCCAGGAGGGTGCAGGGTGGGTGGGAAGGGCCCAGGGGAGGGGGCGGCGCGGCCTGGGGTGACAGCCAGGGACATGGGGCGGCCTCCGGAGCGTGCAGGGGTCAGGAGGAGAAGCAGAGGCCGCAGCACTCCATGCAGATCTCCAGGCAGTCGGCCGACTCGCAGCAGGCGTCCAGGATGCCGCAGTCCAGGTCGCAGGGCAGGTCGCAGTCGGCGCACTCGCCGGAGCCGCAGCAGCAGCAGCAGAGGCAGGAGTCTTCGGAGCTGCAGGAGCCGCAGGTGGCGCAGTCCAGGACCAGGTTGCACAGCGTCAGGAACTCGCAGAACAGGCAGGACAGGATGCAGTGGACGCAGCAGTCTGCGGGCGAGAGGGCCGGGGGCTCACTCGGTGAGGAATGACACGCGGGCCACCCTCCCCGGGCACCGGGAAGTGGGGACCCACCTCCCAGGTGAGCCCGAGGCACGGGGAAGTCACAGGAAGCGAGGGTCTGAAGCCCAGCGGCCTGGATCCTGAGTCCCTGCTTCCGAGGGACCGACTCCCTCGGTCGTTTATCTTTCTCATGAACATACCCAGGATGGTATGTTCCAGACCCTGTTCTAAGTGTTGTGCAGGAATTAAACTCATTTGAACTTGTAACAACTCCTTGAGGCGGAGCTGTGTCAACCCCTCGCTACACATGAAGAAGCGGAGGCTTGGAGAAGTCTCTTCAAAGCCGATCCAGGGACTTCCCTGGTGGTCCAGTGGTCAAGAATCCACCTGCCAGTGCAGGGGATACCGGTTGGATCCCTGGTCCAGGAAGATCCCACATGCTGCGGAGCAACTAAGCCCATGGACCACAACTACTGAGCTTGTGCCCTAGAGCCTGGGAACAGCAGCTACTGAGCTCAAGTGCCTTAGAGCCCAGGCTTTGCGACAAGAGAAGCAATGAGAAGCCTGCACATCGTGACTAGAGAGCAGCCCCTGCTCCCTGCAACTAGAGAAAGCCCGAGCACAGCAATGAAGACCCAGCGCAGACAAAAGTGAAATAAATAAATAATCTATGCAGAATCCTTCCACTCTGCTCAGCTCTTGCCCAGTGACAGCATCCTCACTCACTCCCTGCCTTTGGCCACCCTTGCATTGACACGGAGGCCAGAGGACCTTTGAAAGACTTCTGTTGGATTCCATCCCTCCCACCCTCAGAACCCTCCAGTGGCTTCCACTTCCCTGGGAGGAAAAGCCCAGAGTGCTCAGCGGCTCCCGTGGCCTCCCCATCACTCCGCCGTGGCCACACTGGCTGCTCCCCGTCCTCCAGGCACTGCCCCCTTGTTCTCCCAGCACTCTGGCCCCAGAAACCTGCTCCGCCCACTCCATCTCCCCTCCTTCTTTGCCCAAATGTCTCCCCTCAGTGAAGCCTTCCTCAAGCATCCTCTTCAATACTGCAAGCTGCCCGCCCAACCCCAGCACCCCCATCCCCTCACGCAGGCCTGTTCTGCTTCCCTGCCTAGGACTCATCACCTTACATGGCTTACACAGCTCTGCCACCTACTAGAATACCAGCATGAGAAGGGCAGGCGTCCAGCACTGGCACACTGCGGGTGCTGAGTAAATAAATACACGGGGAGGGAATTAATGCATGTTCCCGCCCTTGGGCATCCAGCTGGACATGGCGGCGCTGGCTCAGCAGCCCAGGCTCTGAACCGCTCAGCGTGTGGCCAGGGTGCCTGGCTGGCACACCTCCCAGGGGCCGGGCCATGGGCTGTGTCCAGGTCCCCTGACCAGGCGGGCCCCTGGCACAGGCTGCTGGTCCGGTGGGAATCTCACACTGCCACGGAGGCTCTGATGCCCACACCCCGGTCCTGTGTATAGGGAATCTTTTTCGACCCCATGGACTTGAATCAAATCCAGGCCCCTTGCATTGGGAGCGTGGAGTCTTAGCCACTGGACCACAAAGGAATGCCTCCCTGTTCATTTTAACTGCATGAATATCCCCTTCATAAATAAGGCTCTTGGGCATAATCTGCTCTGGGGGGGAAGGGTGAAAGTTATGAATATGTCGTGCGCAAAGGTGTACACTGAATTCAGGTGTACACTGAATTCTGTCTGCAGAGGACCAGCCAGAGCCTCCCAACATGGAGAGAAATTACTTAAAAGTTCTGGGGTGAAGGTCAAGCATCACTGGGTTACCAGCAACTGTCACCCTTGCTGAATTCACGCCTGTGGGGTGGGGGACCTGACTGCCCAGGGCAGCCCCCCAGAGGACCTCTGTGAGGCAGGAACAATGGTGGGTATATCCAGGTGTTCTGACCTCCCACTGCCCTTTGCACCCCCCATCCTCCTCCCAATTAAGCATCTGATGCTGCATCATTTTATTCTGCTAGGTGTTGGGCTCTCACTAGGCAAATGGCCCATTCCTCAAGGAAAATTTCTGTTTCCAGAAATGGGGTGGCTTTGATTGGACCAGCCCAGATGGTTCCATTCCCTGCTACAGCCACTCTGAGAGAGGAGCGATGAGAAGGGGTGGTCTTGAGAGCTCAGATGTGCCTCACTTTATCCAAAAAGTGTCCTCTGCAAGGTTCTCCACTTTAAGAGTCTTGCATCAGATTCCCTGGAGAGCTTCTTAAAACCTAGACTCCGGGGCCCCATCCAGAGGAATGGATCTGGAGGGCCTGGTGTGGGGATAGGACGCTGTGCTTCTAAGCAGCCTGGTGAAGATCTGGAGGCTTCTCCCTGGGGGAGGCGGAGTGGGGTGCTTACCTTCCTGCGCCTGGAGGGGAATCTGGGAGGCAGCGGACTTGGTGCTGCCCTTGCTCTTCTTGCTGCCCTGGCTGGCGAGAGATGGGTGCGTCTGCAACTTCCGGTGGGCCTTGGGGCCACCCAGGGCACCATTCCCCGTCCGCCTGGCGCCGCCCAGCTCCGAGGGGTGGCCAGAGCCATTCGCCACTAGTGGGGTGCAGTCCAAGGGGTTCCCCTGGGGCTGGCCTAGAGAGACGATGAGAAAAGGGCGATGGAGGAGGAGGTGGGGGATGGGGTGGCCGGCACAGTCTTCCAGGGCTCTGCTCGACTCCTGCTGGCTTCGTTCCTAGATATACCCCAGGTTACCTAGCTGTTCTGAATTTTTGCAGACGAGGAGACGGAGGCCAAGAGAGCAGAACTGACTTGCCCAGAGGCAGCATGGAATAGCCTCTCCGAGTGGAGCCTGGCCCCTGACTTCCAGGCCGGGGGTCATTCAAGAACAGACAGAGGTATGGGTAAGGGGAGAAGCGCAGGGGCCTGCACCTCACCTTCTTAGTCCACGCGAAATCCACTCTCCTGCTCTTGGGGTTCCAGGGATTTTGGCAAGAGTGGTGGCGGAGAGGGGCGGAGGGGCAGCAGGGAAGTAGTTAACTGTCACCTCGGCCCCTGCCAAGCCCCCAGCTGCTTCTGCCCTTTGAGTGCTGGGTGATTCATTGGAAACATCTGTTTGGAGATGAACGCCTGGCCCTGGAATCCAGGGGGCTCCTCACAGCAGCCCCCCCACCTCCTGCTCCTTCTGCCCCCAGCTCCCCTGCCCCCGCTGGAAGAAAGTTTGCTGAGCGGCCCTAGGTGTCCAGGTGGGGAGTGGGAGAGGGAAGCGGGAGGCCAGCAGGGAGACCTCGGAAGCCAGGAACCCTGGGTCCCTATACCAGACTGAGGGACTGAACCAGCTTTATCAGTGGGGTATGGGGAAAACAGCCCTGGAGAGCATGCCAGCATCTGGTTCCTTCCCTTACCTCACTCAGGTTTGCCCATTTGGATGGCATGGTTCTGTCCCCAAAAGATGAAGGCAGATGTGTGTGTGTGTGTGTGTGTGTGTGTGTGTGTGTGTCGGGGCAGGAGTCTGAGAAGGGGTCACAAGAGTTCGAGGACCCCTCTGCTCAGGGCCCCTGACTCCTGGGCGGGACCCTGTGGCCCTTAGGACCCTCAGTAAATGTGTAAATCTGGGGTGCTTCCTTCTCTCCGGCCCTGGGGTCTAGATCCCTAGGTCCCTCCAGGCCAAACCTCCGGGTCTGGGTTGTGGCAGGAGACGTCGGGAGCGGGGTGCGAGGAGGGGGGCAGAAGTTGGGAGACAAAGGGCTGAGGAATGAATTGCTACTACCACAACCATCACTACTCTTGTAATTAGTAGCCAATGTGTTTTGAGTTGTGACGAGGTGCCAGACAGTGCTAAGAGTCCTATGTGTAGTAATTTCATTAAGCATCAAACAGAATTACTGTTACTAGCCCATTTTATAGATGAAAAAACCAAGGCCTAGAGAGGGTAAAACTTGCCAGCGCTTCCATAGCTAGGCAGTGGAGTGGGAAGGAGATGGAGATTGGGAGAAAGGAGCTGAGGACAGACTGGGGCTGGCGGGGGAGCGGGTCAGGGAAAGGATGGGAGACAGAGCCACTCCAGGAGCCTTTGGCCCTGAGGAGCGGCTGGTGCCTGCATCTGGGTAAACAGGGGTAAGGCCATGGGAAGTGGCCAGGCCTGAATCATCCTGCCCCCACCTCTGGGCTCCATGGGGGGGTGGGGGGATGACTGAGCTGAGTCCTTGGCCAGCTTCGGTGCCCTCTGCCCTGCTGCCTGAACACAGGTACAGTGACCAGGTGGGGGTGTGTGGTGAGCTGAGGGCCCCAGGAGATTTGGGCGGACACAGAGCTCGCCTGTGGCCATGGCCGTGGGGGCTGAGTCACAGAGCAAACACCCAGGACCCATGGACACAGGAGCGTCTGTCCCACCCAGGCCCTCTCCTCCGTGGCCACGGCGTTTACCTCTTTCTCTCGGTCCTGCTGGTGGGTGTGTCTCGAGGGCAGAGTGCTAGCAGGATTTAGTAACCCTGACTTCCAGGGCGTCCAGCTTACCCCAAATGCCCTGCCTGAAAGCAGCTCCACAACTCTGCCATGCAAGCAGGGCAGCCAGGCATAGGACAGAGCCCTGGGCCAGGAGACCTGAGCTCCCCAGTCTGTGTCCAGAGTGAGGGAGCCTCAGTTTCCTCATCTGTAAAATGGGCTTGGCAAGAGCTATCTGGCTACCTCACTACAGGCTGATTTGGAGAGCCCGAGAGCTCATACACGGATAGAAAGTTTAAAAGCACCAGTGTGTCCCATAGACTTTGCCGATCTTACAGGCAATTACAAAATGATTTTAGAAGCCCCTTCCCCTGCTTCTGAGGGTGATGGTGGCGAATTCTCCCTCTCCAGGACCTCCTCGGAGACATAGAGCCAAACCCAGGAACACAGCTGAGTTTTGCTCCTTTCTACCCAGAGCAACTGGAAGAGTCTCTCCTACCATTTTGCTCTTGACACCCTGTAAGTTGGGCTGTCTCGGGCTCCGGTTCCCTGCCCCCAAACCCCAGACCTCTTCCGCAGACAGTACGCACTCTCGTCCTGAACCACACTGCCTGCAGCCTGTCCACACTCATTCTGAACTAATTTTATCTGAATCATTTTGTGGATAGAAATGATGTGGATGTCCTCCTCCTAGACAGCAGGGACAGTGACAATGTCTTACACCCTTCCATTGCCCACACGTCAAGGTCCCGGCCCACTGCTAGGTTCCCATGGGCACCCAAAGCCCATCTGTAATGGATTCCCTAGAGTAACTGCCACCCATTGCCACCCCAAACCCCAGACCCCTAGGACTCACGTGTCACAGCTTCTATGGGGACATCGAGGTCAGTGCTGTCCAGGGCCTGGGGGGCCCCAGGGTCATTGCCTTGGGTCATGGAGGGTGCCGCTGCTTCCTCCAGGGAGCCCTCCTCAAGCGCTGCCTCCGTGGGGTGAGCAGATCCGGTCACTACCTCCAGCCCAGGAAGGAGTGATGGGGTCTGGGCTAGAAAAAAGGAGGCGACTGAGGGACATCTTCCTGGTGCCCTCCGGCTGGCCCAGCCCTGGTTCCTTCCCCGCAGCCCAGAATGCCCTAAGCCCTCATTCTTGGTCTCTGTACCAGCTACCCAGCCCTTACCCTATCTGGTAACAGTGCCAGCCTCTAAAATAGAAAGTTCTCAAACCACAGCCCATGAGCGAGCAAGGGTGTGTGCACGTGTGTGCGTGTGTGTGTGTGTGTGTGTGCGCGCGTGTGTGGTCAGGGAGGGGGCCAGAGATGCACGGTACAAAGGAAAGTGAGGGAAGGAGGCAGAGACACAGTGCAGGAGAGAACAGACGAGCAGCGATGGGGAGATAGGAAGAGGCATCCAGAGTGACGTGGAGAGAGAAAGAATCAGAAGGATGTGAAAGGTAGAAGCAAAGAGAGACAGTGCATCAGAACTCGAGAGACCAGGCACGTAGACGCCCAGTGACAGACAGTCCAGGACAGGCAGCAACTGAGAGCAAGTCAGCGATGGAGAGAAAGATAAAGATGGGGCCAGAGGCAGAAGTGATGGAGAGGGAGCAAGATACAGATGGAGAAACGGTGAGAAATCAGGGCAGAGAGAGAGGGTGATAGCATGAGAAAGAGTCGGAGAAGCCTGGGGTGAGGCGGAGGGGCTCCAGGCAGGAAGAGAGACAGGGAGACAGCCCAAGAGGGCTGGAAGAGGCGGCCGGCAGCCACATGTAATTACAGTGAGTGGCTCGGTCCCTCTGTCCAGGGTGGGCGGAAGGCAGACATGGAGCCACCTTCAAACCCACAGTTCCTAAGGCAGCAAGATCAGGGCCGGCTGGGGCCCAGGGGAGGAAAGTTCTGGGGGCTGGGAGGTGGCGCAGAGAGGCAAAAAGGTGACCGGGCGTGGGAAAGCCTGAGGGTGGACAGGAGAAGGTGAGGCTTGGGGTCACCGGGCCAGGGGCTGAGTAGGGGCAATGACGGGGTGCGGCCTGGGCCTCCCATCAGCCCCCAGGTTGTTCAGTGGGAATGACAGGGGCATCCCAAGAGGGTGCCCCTTCCCCCAAGCCTTGATGGGAGCAGGGGAGATGGAAACGGAGATGGAAGGGCTCAGGGAGAGGAGAGCCACACAGGGAGCCACAGAGAAAGACGACGAGAAAGGCTGATGAAATCCAGATAGTGAGAGGTCAGCGCCCACCCGTCCACACCACGTAGAGATCACAAGACACACCCGCAGGACAGAGACACAGGCCAGTCTCAGAGACAGCGGCGGAGCCGACCGCAGAGCACAGATGGCCTTAGGGACGGGGTCTTTCTCTGAGCTGTCTCCAAATGAGGGCAGGGGAGGATGGGGCGGGGAGATATAAGAAGGAGCAATTCAGGTTGGGCACGCGGGTCTAGCGGGTGGGAGCATCTGGAGGGGAGGGGACGATCCAGGGGCTCAGAGACCCCTGGACGATCCTTGTTCCAAAGACTCTGGTCCCCCACGGCCAGGGGGTGGAGGCTCCAGGGGCCCCATGGAGGTTGCAGAGAGAGCAGCAGGCGTGCTCCAACCTGCCCGGAGAAACCACTGGCCCTGCCTGGAGCTGGGAGCTGGGACAGGGAGGAGGGAGCACTGGGGCTCCAGCCACCCCTGAAGGGTGGCAGTCATGTGCTGGGAACCCCTCCTGGTGCCCAGGGAGGCAGGGGGTGGGTTCCTCCAGCCCCATCCATTCCTTAAGCTCCTCTCACCACCTGGCTAATAGGAGGACAAGTGGCTTTTGGAAGATCGCAAGGCTGGGACTAGGGCAGCAGGGGAGCGGAGACGACCCCCGAGGAGGAGTCAGGCTGTCCCCCTCAAGGTGGAGACTGATCTACAGTGGTGCAGAGGGGATGCTGGAGGCCAAGACCAAGCTGAGACGGAGGCTCACAACTTGAGTTCTAATTCCCAGGAAGGGAGGGGGCTGCCCAGCTCCAGCCTCTGGCCCCAGAGGCATCCTGCCAGAGCCCGGAAGTGGGAGTGCTGACCCTCCCAGGCACTGGAATGACAGAGGCCCGAGCCAGGAGCTGGAACACCCAAGCCCTGGTTTTTACCGGATACCAGCTTGGGCAAGTTACTAGGACTTAGGTCACCTTGCATGAAAAGGGGACAAGCATGCTTGTCCCTCAGGGTTTCAAAGAGTAAATGGAACCCCCAGCAGTACCTGGCATGCAGGGGGCCACTCCCAGACGCTTCCACCAGCCATACCCTGCCCGACCTCACTCCTCTCCCTTCCTTCCTTTCCTCCTTCCTTCCTGTGCTGTTTGGTATGACAGTGGCGACGCACCTCCCAATACGTCAAGCACTGGGTGGACCACAGTGAGAAAGACCAGGTCACTGACCCAGGAGTTCTCTGCTGGGGTGGGGGTGGGTGACAGGCACACACACTGAAGGGCAAGGGTCACAGCAGGGTCACACAAGGGTCACAGCACACACTTGTGTGCAAGTCTAGGAGGCTTCTTGTAGAAGGCAATGCCCATATCAGGTCTTGAATAATCAGTCAGCAAAGAAGGGGGAAAGGGCATTTTGAGACCAGCAGCAGACCCCGGCGTGAACAGCTGTGGTGTGAACGAGGGAAGATAGAGTAATTGCATGGTGAGCCTTGTGGTCACGTCCCAGGCTTTCTCCTGAGGTCACCAGGGCACACACAGGTGACACTGTTACTCTTGGAGTGGAAGGAGTCGAGCCTGCAGCTCTCTTGGGCCCCCAGGGTTGGAGAGGGAGGAAACTGAGAAAGCAGGATTAGGAGACCGGTCCCCACCCCAGCCCTCCTCCCCGACATGTCGATTGCCACTCTCTGGGCAGTCTCTCCTCACAGTCACCTACAGGGCTGGTGACCTTGAATCTGGTGGGAACAGGAAATTACAGAGAGCCCAGACGAAGTCCTGAAGAGGCCCCTCCTGCAGGAAGCCTGCCATTCTGGGGTGAGCATCAGACCTTGGAAGGAAACCAGGGAGGAAAGTAAATCCAGTCCAGTTATCTTAACCTGGAAACACAGACAGACAGACCTCTTGGAGCCAAAGGGCAGCGGAGGGGACCCAGCAGACGCTGGAGGAAAAACACTGAGGGCAGAAGAGGAAACTGTGCAGAGGGCGCAGAGACGGGGAGCAGGCTGAGGAGGAACAAGAAGTGGCGGGGAGACTTTGTCTGCTGGTGACAGATGGCCTGGGGCTGCAATGCTAAGATGCTGGGCCAAGAAACAGCTCTCGCTGCGAGCACATGGAGCAGCAAAGCCAGATAAAAGGTGGGGACCATGGGGCCAACCATCAAGAGGCCGAAAGACCCTAGTTTTCCTTCTTGGGACCAGGAGATCCCTGCTCAGCCCCAGAGTGGAGAACATCTCTGAGGAGAAACTTCTGGAGGGTGGGGAGGCCAGCAAAGGCCACTGGGTGGACAAACAACTTAAGTTGGGCATGAAGCTGCCCAGGGTGGGGGTGGTGTGAGAATCCCTGGTTGGGGTTCCACCCTCCCTGGAGGTGCCATCTGCTCACCCAGAGGTACATCTGCCCCATCTGATCAAACAGCCACTTTTTTCTAATGTGCATGGGGGTAATTCCCAGGAAATGGCAACCCACTCCAGTATTCTTGCCTGGAGAATTCCATGGCCAGAGGAGCCTGGCAGGCTGTATTTCATGGGGTTGCAAAGAGTCAGATACAACTGAGTGACTATCACTCACTCACTCCAGTGATTAGGACTCTGCACCTCCCACATGCCTCGAGATGCAGCCAAAATAATAATAGATTAAAAATAAGGTAACTGTATACTGGGAGCCAGCCATGCAGTAGGCATCTCTGAGCAGAAGCCCCAGTCCTACACCTCTCTCAAGAGTCTCCATCTCCAAGGGGGAAATGCAGAAGGGCAAGGGCCCCTATGCCTTGACATACTCTCATCCTTGGCACAGAAATGCCCTGAGTCCTGGAAAGACAGCCCAGGAAGAGGGTGGAAAGGTCACGTTTAAATCCATAAGCCCGAGAGGGAAGTGGAAAGACTCGAGCTTCAGCCGGACACTGCGCTCCCTTTGCTTGCCATTCCTGGACCAAGAAGGAGTTGGGGGGACCTCTTCCACGTGAGATGGGTTCATCCCAGGCCTGGAAAGTGCCCACAGGACCCACGTCCTCGAGCTCCCACGCGTGCTGCCTCCAGCCGAGCCCGCTCCCTGGGGACCTCTCCCCCTGGAGCTCCGACTGTCTCTGCAGAGATGGCTGGGATCTGATCTGCTCAGAGAGCAGTGACTGGAGACCTTCATCCCAGTCCCTCCTTGACCTGGTATTCAAGGCCTCAATCTACATCTTCAACCTAATCAATGGACAGGACCCTGTGTTCCAGGTCGACTGACCTCTCCGTGGTCTCAGGCCACCACTGGGCCTTCTGCCCAATCCATCCAGGCTTCTACTGTCCTCTGGATCAGAAGGTCCTACCCTTCCCCTCTCCCCAAATCCAATCACCCTTCCTGACCCAGCCGGAGGTTCACCTCTTCCTCCAGAAAGACTTCCCTGACCCTCGAGCCAACAGTCCCTCCTCCGAGTGGCCACTTCCTGAGGATTCAGTGCCCAGAGCTCCCTGCTGTAAACTGTAACTGGGAGTGAAGCGTGGGTCCTCAACTGGACTGCAGCCCTCCCCAGCTCACTCCCCTGGGGCGACGTCAGTGTCATTTTAGCACCCCCAGTGGCACTTAGCAAATGTCTGATGGTGAGGACTGAGTTCTGGAGTCTAGAATGCCCCAGGTTGGGAGGAGGCGAGAGAACCAGAAGGTGAGAATTAGGGTTGGCGCCTGGCACCCAGACAGTAAGAACGTGGACTTGCTTGATACACACTGCGACACGTGGGACACAGGCCCAGGCCACCAGGCGAAGGACTGGAGACAGCCTGAGCTGACCAGTTAGGCTGGGTCCGGTTGGTTTTTATTTTAGGTCTAAAAGCTCCAATTCCCCAGGAAATTCACTTCAGAACCAAGAGCAGGAATGTGACGCCCCAGTGCTGGACAGAAATTTGCTGTGGGTTAGGGAGCCAGGCTCCTGGGGCTCTCAGGGATGGAGGGGGAGGAGGCCACTGGGGGAGCCAAGGGTGTGGGGGCTTGGCCACCCGCCCCCGACCAGAGCTGCCCCGGGTCCCCTTGCACCCCGATTTACATCCTGGGCGGCCGAGGGAGGGCTGACTTGAGTTTCTGCCTGCAGGGCCCCGGGAGTAGCACCGTGGCCTGGCTGTTCTGTCAGCGCTCAGCAGGGAGCGTGGGGGATTCTGGTCTCGGATTCAGGCGTCTGTGGGGTTTTGGCTGGGTCTCCTGCGGTTTGGGCTTCCTGGGCAGCAGGCTCAATCTCCCAAGGCGGCAGAGCCAGGCCTTCTCGTGTTATGAAAGCCACATTGTCTGGCCCTGCCCAGGCTGGGGAGGGGGCTTGCTGGGGCTGGGGCCTCAAGTTACAGCCCAGGACTTAACCCTCCCAGTGGCCCACCCTGGCCCTTGTCCCGGCTCCAGGCTCCAGCACATTCAGCCCCTCCTCCCCTCTGCTGGGGCGGGAACGGGTCCCACAGGAGAGAGGGTCTTGGAAGGAGGGAGTGGAGGAGGGAACAGAGAAGATGGATAAGCCGGGGTAGAAGGCAGGGGAGACGGGAGAGACGTGGAGAATCAGGAGGCCAAGAGGGAAGGAGCAAGAGACAGAAAGAGCCTTCCCAGGTCCCTGCCCTGAGCTCTCCCCCCAGGCTCCAGGAGCCCTGTTCCTGAAGGAGTTTATACCCCAGAAGTCCCTACTCCAGGGCCCCCACATTCAGGGGGGCAGTCTGAGGGCTGGCGGGATGCGGAGCAGACACATTGGTTTCATGTATGTGTGGGCTCCTGGCCAGCCGTCTGCCACTTGCCCTCCCACCACTTTAGACGCCCCCGCCCCCCCACCTCCACAGCCCTGGGTCTCCAAAGGGCCAGTGTCCACACCAGGTAGCCTTGGGCCTTTCCAAATGGGTAGACCAGTTCCTGTGGGTGGATGTGGAGACTGAGGCCAGAGAGGGGAAGAAACTTGTCCAAGGCCATGCAGGGAATTCATGTCAGAGGTCCAGGATGAGACCTCCATTATTTGGAGACTCAGAGAGGGGAGAAAGGGCAAATGGGGCTGGGTGAGAGGAAGGCAGATGATCAGACTAACCTAGAACTGGGATTAAAGGCATGATATCCGGGCCTGTCCTCCTGCCCACCACCCTTCCGCCTTCCCCAATAAACCCCAGATGTCCCTGACTTCTCCCTGTCCCCGCTATCCACTGGGAGCCTCAGCGCACATGTGTATGGTGAGAAGGTGGACACAGAGCCACATCACCAAGACTCCCCACGGCCCCTGCCCCCTTCCCAGGCCCCCTTAGGGAGTCACAAACCCTGGGAGGGGGGAGGATCCCGCAGGAATAATCCTAGGGAGGTTATAGATCCTGTATTTGTGGGAAGGGACAGTTCACTTGAGTGGTGGGCACTTGGTTGGGGTGAGTGCCTGAAAGAGAGAAGGGGAGAGAGAGAAGGAGAGGGGTGAGGGAGAGAGAAACTCTGCGTGTGTGTGCGTGCCTGTGTGTGTCTGTGTGTGCAAGCAGGGTAGGAGTGGCAGGGGCTGGCCAGGCCCGGGTGGGGAGGAAGGCGAGCGAGACGAGATGGCAAGCAGGGGAGGGGCGATCCTGCAGCCGCTTGCTGTGGACAAAAGTTTTCGGGAAGCGCTAGGCTCCGGCTAGGATGGGGGAAGGGAAGGAGAGAAAGACTCAGACACCCCCCACCTCCGCCTGAGGCCCCCATAAATATTTACACACTGGGCAGAAACGGTTGGGACACAAATCCCAGACGGACAGACAGACACTGCGGTGTGTGTGTGTCTGGTGTTGGGAGTGGGGAAAGTTGGAGCCAACTTGGCGCGGCCGCCGCCTCCGTTCGGGCCCTGCCCCCATCGTCCCAGCCCTCCACTCTCCTTGGACCGGGTCCCCGCTTCCCAGGTTTCTCGCCCCCACCTCCACTCAAGCTCCCCCAAACCGTCTCCCCACTTCTCAAAGAGGAGAGGGGAGAATTACCAGTCACCCTTCCCCAGCCGCCTACCCCTCGCTCCAGTCCGGTCTTGTTCTGCATCCCTGGTTCCTACCTGGGCCCGGGGCTGCGCTGGGGGCTCCATGGGGCGCGTCGCAGTGAGGAGGAGGCTGGCCACTCGCCTGGGACATCGGCCCGGGACCTGCGAGAAACGGGGCTCAGCGGATGGGGCGGAAGGTCCGCGCGCGCGCGCGCGCCGGGGAAAAGGGGGCCGGGGCAGGGGGCGATCCCCCGGCAGCCGCGCGTCCACCCCCCTCCCGGCTAGGGGCGCGTCGCAGTGAGGAGGAGGCTGGCCACTCCTTCCCCCGCGCCCGGCTAGGCGCTGCCTGGGCCGGACACGTCTGTCCGCGGGGCGCCGCGGCCGGAGCCCCCACAGGAAGCCGGCTCCACGCGTTTCCTCCGCGCTCTCGGAGCTGGGCCCCAGTCTCCCCAAATCTCCGCCCCCCTCCCAGGCCCAGCTCCCCGGGAGGCTTGCAAAGGGGGCCGCGAGTTCCCCTTCGCCTACGCTAAACTCTGCAGAAGTTTTGGAAAAAGCAAGAGAACCAGAGAGAGAGAAAAACCACGGTGATCACAACTACCTCGTGCCAATTGTCTGAATATTTGTGGCCCCCAAATCTCGTTGTCCCAAAGGTGGGAGTGATCGAGTTTCTCAGGCACGCTTCGCCCACTTCCTCGGTCCCCGCCCGCGGTCCTAAGCTGTGGCACAGACCGGTTGCCCACCCCGCCAGAAGCTATCACTTCGGGAAATCCGGTTGGTGACATTCGAGCCTCCCGTGTCCCTAGAGCAGCCCTCAGCATCACTGATTCCCCCACCCCCACCAGCCGCACGTGGGAATTTGGGTCAGAAACCCGGCTTTGGAGGCAAAGAGAGGTTCTGGAATTCAGCCCTTCATTTGGCTCCACACTGAAATCCGAGGCCTTCCAAATTGCGGGGTGCTTGGGAAAGAGGAGAGAGTGAGCCCCTCGTGGGGTGTGTGTGGGACGAGGAGGGGCAGCGGGGCGACACGTCTGGAATGGAGCTGGATCCCTCTTCAGGGCTGGGGTAGGAAGGAGCTGCGACCAGACAGTCGTGATGGGGGTGGGGTGGGGGTGGGGGGGTTAGTTCAGGGACCCTAGCTTGGCACCCGGTCCCCAAGGAAGGGGGAGGCGTGGAGCCTGCGGCCCGCCGGGTGAGGGTTGGGCGGGCCCGGAGACGATCAGGTGGGGCCGCCCGCTGGGTTGATGGCATCTGGGCCACGCTAGACCGAGGACGCCTGGGAGCCGCGTCTGGGCTCCCCACCACGAGGGCCGGTGAGCAATTAGGGAGGCGGCGGCGGCGCCAGGCCAGTTCTCCCGGTTCCG